TTATAAGAAAATAAATTTTATAAAAATATTAAATTTTTATAAGAAAATTAAATTTTTATAAAAGGCTAAACGGAATTATTATTACCCAGGACAATTACTATCCATTTAATAAATCAGACAACAGCGCCCTGAAAATCAGGGTAGAAGAAGAACCCCAAAATCAAATACAACTTCTACTACGATTATAAGCTATACCGCCGCTAGTATTAACAAATACTGGCGATTAGTAAAGATAATCAGCCGTAACTGTGCAGTAATCAGGGGTTTTATAGTGGTAAGGAGGTGGCTATATTTAAAGAAAGCAGTCTGGTATATGTAGGTCTTATACGCAACAGTGCCGGCGCCTCCTGTTTTTTACGCCAGGCCACTATATGGTACAGTAAGTAACCATAATCCTACTACACCGGTTATTAGTTTACTATCAATTGATCCTTTAAAAACGGACGCCACAGCCTTTCTTTTTTGAGGTATACCCCCAGCCTTTATATATAAAGGTATTAGAACCGCGGAGAGGAGCTTAACGGAATCGTGAGTTTTACTGGCGGCTATGGTCGTATATGACAGTTCGTGTGCATAATTGCTTAATAAATCCTTGGTAATCCTAGGGAGAGAAGCTAGAAAGACGCAATCTTTTATGTCCCGGTCGACCTTGTTACTTGCTCAAATTGTGTTGAAATCGAACAACCCTCCCAAAGCTAGAGGCTCCGCCGAACCGCCACGAAACCATGACGAACAGATTTCCTTGCTGGTGGGTTTGCTAGCTGGCTCCTATTTTCAGCATTGCAAGCTGGATTCAACTAAACAGCCCGTTTTCATGAGCCTACTAGATAGAACTCTGATTCACGACTCACTACCTAGGTAGTTCACAAATAACTCAACGCATTGCCATGGCCATCACGTGCAACTCTGCTGCTGCCTAACACACGCTTGAACGCGTAAAAAGTGAACTCAGCTACGCGAGGAGACCAAAAGCACTGTTGGCATCAATCCTCGCCTCCTTCTCACCCAGAAAATTGGCGTGGGGCGCGTTTTTAAAGCTCGTGCCTCTTTGTTTTCAGAATTTGCCATCATTTCTGTAACACGCATTGTTTGCTCGTCAGCCAACTCGCCACAGCCAAAACTTGGACCATGGAGCAGACGTTTAAGATTGTAGCTCCTCATGCCAGGCTGACCGACGAATGTGGAGGCACGCTTGAAGAGATGCTTAGCGACGGCACGGCCGAGGCACTCGTCAAGCTACTCGCCATCCCGGTTCGGCCTAGGATTGCCGTGAATCCAAACCGATTTGCCTCGCAGATTGCTTCACGAAGAAGCCGTATGTCGGCGACCGTAGCCGTCAAGCGCAGAGGCAACGCCGAACTGCGAAAGTGCCCTCCACGACTTCCGAACAAGACCACGACAACTGCTGGAAGCCGCGTACCGAATACACAATCAGCCACATTTTACGGGCTCCCTACCGAAATTCATCAACTCATCTTCTCTCATCTAATACAAAAAGAAGATGTCCTCAACCTCGGATTAGTGAATCGACACCTCTGCCATGTCGCTCGAGAACAGCTGGTGGATGGTTTTCTCTCGTACTTGGCGCCCTGGGCTGGTGAAAAAATTGTCTATGTGGGAGAAAACACCGAGCCAAATGACTACCCCCCAGGATTGTTTTCGGACGCAGAACTAGAAGACCTTGGCAGAGAGGAATTTAACTTCTATGACGATGACGATGGAGATTATATTAGTACCATGACAGTATCCAACCTGTATCACTTTACGATGCCGGGGGTTTCCTACCTAGCAGGACGGCGCAACCTGAAATTCGAAACAGTTGGGTTGGGATCCTTGTTCTCCAAGGTACCGGCTTCCGAGGACGCTGCGCTGGCATATTTCGGCCCAGCCAAATTTCCTAGTTACGGCCAATACTTCCCTGAAAACCAGCCGTGGATTCTTCGAAACCTCACCACCAAGCAGTTTGTACGTGCAGAAGCCATTGCCCTCCAGCGGAAATTCATTCACGGCCCCGACATTGATTTTTTGGGCTTTGGCCACGCCATCCTGCTGCGCATCTGTTGGTCGTCTGAGCCTGTCCCCGAGGTGGCTCCGGCAAATATCGTGAGAGGAATATGGGCAGGGCACTGTTTCGACATCACTATGCTGGCCAAACACCAGGAAGAGACTGGCGCCGGACAAGGCTGGGCCGATATAAGCGACGAAATTGCAAAGGAGATTGCTACTTTTTGTGAAGCCAATCTGGGACCCAGCTGGCGTTGGCGTCTCTGTCAACCAAGATTCAACCCCTGGTAGTAAACGACTGGCCGAGGCTGAAATATCATGTTGACTTTGGCACATGACTACATCATTCGACTGGCCGCTAGGATGGGAGAAAAGCGTGTAATTCCAAGAGTGCTATCCATCTTGTCAATTCCGACAGGGGAGTTGGGGTGTCGCGTTTGTCACTTTGGCTGCTGGATACATGCAGGGGAAACAAGTAATAACTTGCTTATTGAGCTTGAGTGAGGAGGGGTCTGTGGCTTAGTGAATTGATTGCATTTATTTTATACACTCAGATGTTGAAGTAAATACTCCCGCTTCAGACGCTTATCATAACGACGAGGTAATAAATACCTTGTATACGAGGTCTATGAGATGCCTCTCTCACATAGACACATATGCAAAGGCAATCTATTATAGTTTATACAACGGCCTCGTGAGGCTCTTGGCAGCACTAGACCGATACATGCCCGGAAACAAAGACCTGCGGATCCCTACATCGTGGGTTTTCAGCAACATCAGACTGCATCTGCCCTGCACTCCCTGTTCAGCCGACCACCGATGGCTTGGATAAAAGACTGGTCCGTCTTTGAGGGACACGTAAGACGTCTCCGTTTAATCTAGGCTAGGGTCTAATTCCAGCGTGACCCCGCGTCCTGGCCCTTTTTGTAATATTCATCAACCCACGCCTTCATCGTAGCCAATATCTCTTCCACAATCTGGCCAAGCTCCGGGTTCACAACGGCCTCTTCAGCAAGCATATCATTACAATGCGCCGCCTTGGGAATGACCCAAACGGGAGCCTCGGGTGTTGACTGCAATGGCCCGCCTGGCCGAGCATCTGCTGATACCGTAGCCGGCCTCCACGGGTCGTATTCCCCATTCACCCACATGAGACGCGTGGTGTTCACATCAACATGATGCCAACCGCCGCCCATCCTTTTCTGAGTTTGGCCGACATTTCGGCCCTTAGCAAGCCCATATGCATGGATGCCTTGTCGTGGGAAGAGGTTTCGGCACTGCATTCGGCCATATTCCACGTCGAGGTACTTGGACACAATTCCTGTCGTGTCTTGAGGGCCAGAGACTTGCCAAAATTCAAGGCTATGACAAGTTGTGCGTGAGCCGCGACAGGGTCTGTGTAGTTTATCGTGGGTGAATCATGTACTTACGGCTCGTTGCAGAGGAACCAATACCACTGTCTATTGAGTGTGTTATTTACGGAGAGATCCTTGTATAGGGGGCTGTTCTTGTCATTCATATCCAGGCACGCGACGGTGTTATTATCACGCCAGTAGCCGTATTCCGCACACACTAAATTGATTTGCTAGTGTTGAAGCTTTACCATGTCCAGTTGAAGTAAATGACAACTCACCTCCGGGCAGATACACTTCCCTGGACCACTTGGCAAAGCCGTCCAGGGCTCTGCTAGTGCCAACACCTTCCGCCCCTGGAGGCGTAGTACGACAGCCATTCGTGGGATTCTCTTTATCCGGGCACATGTTCTATTTGTGTCATGTTAATAGATACTTGAGCAGCATAATACCATGATGGGACAAATGATTAACGCAGAATATACCTCGAGGTAGTCGCAGAACTGGTACAACGGGTTCGGTTTATCTGACCTAGCAAACGTCATGCCTTGCCACTCTTGAAGCCCGCCAAGAATAGACTCTACAAAATCATTATCATGGGCGAGAGCCTCGAGGCCGAATGTCTTTTTCAAGGCGTGCTTTTGGGTTTTGGTCCCGTGTGATAAAACTTTATCAATTTGCTCAGTCGCCCGTTGCATGTCGGTAGAACAATTCGTAGGCATAGCTGCTTTGATAGGCTCATAGTATTGCCAAAAGTCGGAAATGATTTCAATCACAGCACTTGTACAGTGGTACGCCCAAAAAGTGCCGGGTGCGAGATGATGCGTCCAGGCTGCAAGAGCACCGGGATATGAGCAGCCCGTTAAAATCCACGGCGCCTTTGTTGGCTTGGACGCTCCATCAACATCAAATGGTAGCTGAACATTATGGGCAAAGTAAATCAAGTCCTGTATAGCGTTCTCAAGGGTAAGGTATTGCAGATTAGTGGTAGACAGACTATCATATGGCGAGCTCTTGCCCCAATATCGATGCTCGAGCACGATAACGGCAGCGTTGTTCGTCTGGGCAAACAGGCCAGGAAGAGTGTTGTTGGTGGCATAAAAACCATCTACCACATCTTCGCCCGGCGTATTTAGCACGATTGGTGAGCCAGGTCCGGCATAGTACTCGGCGTTGTATAGGTAGTGTTGGGTAAAGGTGCCAAGGTCGGGGTTATTATGGTCAATCAGCTGCTGGAAAGTGCCTTCTTGAGTAGGGATATTAGATCTCTTGCTGTACTCTTTGGGCGAACGAGACGGCAGACGGTTCAGGTGGTGACGCCGGGAAATGCGAGCGGCTGACAGCGTGGCAAGCAAGAGGCTTGTTGCTGCATTGATGCAGCTACTCGCGCGCATATTGTTGCACAATGGTGAACAAATAATGAGTAATAGCAGGTGTGGAAGATGACCAAGGAGAGATGGCCTGAAGAATGGAATTTGTCGACAGACCTCAGAACTGACATGTACATGTATATGCTTGGCTGTGACAAGTGCAGGGTAACTGGACTCGGAATGTGTGTTCAAATATTGAATCAATCATCGACCAGACTTTAAGACATTAAAGGTCCTTGGAATTTTAGGAGGCCTTGAGCGACCAGAGGTCTCTATAAATACAAGAAGCCAGCAAGGGCTAGTGCCTGAGGTAGTCATCGCTTAAGGTCTGTTTCCGGTCTCTCGTGATACCTTCCTTTATTGTTGTGTAACCTTTGTGGCCGACACAGTCGTTCAGACCCCTTTGCCGTGTGACATTGGCAGCAGCTTGACGCTATTGAAATTTATGTGACCGCCTCGTCGGGGCCTCCTTGCAGTTGCTCCATCCCCATGTGACATTATGTACATACTTGTCTCAGGCCGGCCCGACAGCAGTAACGTAGTACAGACACGATTTGGCCAATGAAGATGCTGACATGGGAAGTAGTCAAACAGCTACTCCGTAGATGGTCATGTTTCCGAAACAGGCTGTGTAACTGACTCTCAGCTGCATCGGTGATTTGCCGTCACTCCGTGTCCAGGAAGCCTAGGGTGTGGCAGGGCCATGGAATCAATTCAAGCAGCTCACAAAGCCCCCCTAGAACAATAAAAAAAGAAAAGAAAAGAAAAGAAGAAGAAAACTCCAGGAGTGCTCGTACCAGGACCTCATTTATTTGGTCCCGTCTTCGCTACACCTCAAGTACTTTTATCAAGATCCAGAAGGGTACGGGCGTTGCAAAACTGGGGAGGAGTTCCACTGGGGCATCGTGAAAGCGATCAAGGACGACGAGAGTAGATTTGCTGAGTGGCGATATGCTAGTCGGTAAATATATCAATATCTTATAAGATAGATTTATATGCTTATGAAGGCTAACAAAGGTTAATAGCGCAGCCAATGTCGAATCGATTAGAGTCGCCGTTGTCCCCCGAAGCCCGTTGCGCCCTGTTGAAGTAGTTGCACCCTTCAATGTTCCGATGTCACCAGACACTTGGTCAGGTCTGGTGTCCGGTTCAAGTGTTGGTAATTTTATTATTGTCTGGTCGCGCACATACAGGGATTCCCACTGCCATGACATATTTCCCGGTGACGTTTACGGCCAGGGCACTCACAATGTTGTTGGTGTTACACGAAAAAGGCCCAATAGATCGTGAGGCCCAACAAAGGGGCTTTACTGATGCGGAACTTATTAGTTACACGGCTTAAATATATACCCGCGTAAGAGCCTTAGGCCTAAGTATTCCTTTTATATATATATAGCGGTTACCCTTCTCCTTCTTCCTCTTAGTAACTTAAGACCTTGGAGACCCTTCGAGATCATTATTAAATTGAGTCCTTTTGCTCTAAGCCCTTAGATAAGCCCTTCTCACAGTTGGTCCGCCCCGACACGCTCACTTTATCAAATGCCGACGTCGCCACTAAATACATGTATCAATAATATATGTCAATTTAATCTTGATGCACGCCGTGGCGGGAACATTCAAGGGTGACTGGCCGGTGTTTCCAGAGACGCCTTGGCACAGGTTTTTATCCCCCAGCGGATGAGTATGTATTTATGGGGTTTTCTCTGTACCATATCGCGAATGCAAAGGCGTTGAAACATTTCCGTACTAGAGCACGTATTGTGACGTGGGTGGCATGAATCTCGTCAATTACTTTGCGCCGAGGCCCCTGGCTTTTGCAGTACTGGCTTCGGGCTCTCTGATTGTGCCTTGATACGGAGGTCCATAATTCGGCGGTCGAAATTGAATAGTCTCGGGCAGGGGATCAAATAACCGGCTTTTTTCCGGTCAGACTTACCAAATACTCTGTAAATAGTTGCATTTGCCAGGGGATGCAGTGATGGTTGTAGTGGTAGTAACATCGGCTTATACCACCGGTCAAGCCTAGACCCGACGCATGACCACAAGTCATCACCAATTCACAATGATCTATAGGTGTTGCCTAGTCTAGATGCATTACGTTGTCCCCGAACTTGGCGTGATAGAGAACCAAGTGCCCATGGAGATAGCCTTTATCATGTAAGCCATAACTATAAACTGTATCCTCTTTGGTTATTATATCTCGCGCCCTTAGGAGTCGTCTTATAAAACTTTATATACCTCCATAGGACCGCCTGTTAATTACAAATTGGAGGTGAATCGTTTTTAGGGTGATCTGTCAGGGCCGACTCGACGAGTTGAATAATGGCGGATTTGATAGCGCTCCCTACCTCGAGCTGACTACACACATAGCTCTGTTTAGGCGGGCCAGCCATGATTTTGGTGCAGTAGGGAATTGTTGTTCCCATTGAATCGATTGTAGTTACCGTCTTTAAGGATCACGACATCATTCCGACACACGGAGACTTTGACCCTCGCCACATTCTGGTCCAAGGGGGCAAGGCTACGACCATCTTGGGCTGGGAGGTGTCGTGTGACTATCCTGCCGTTG